ATAATCGATTAATAAAAAATAATCGATTGATTAAAATGATCGATTAATTAAAATAATCGATTAATCGGAAATTATCGATTAATCGAATATAAAAAATATATATAATTGATTATTTTGCCCACCCCTATTGAAGACCTCAAAAAAAATTGATGTACGGAATGGGTTGCTCGTCGGAAATCAGCTAAACTATCTAAAAAACATCAACAAATCGCCCTCTTTGATATACCGCCCATATACAGAGATTTATTTGTTTACTTCAAATATTAATTTAATTTAATTATGTTATGGATTTCGATTTAATATTTAAAATTTTATAATACTTTTGTCATAACAAGCTTTTAACAAGAGTTGTATCCCACGTTATCTGGTAAAATAAGAAATTTACTGAAAAAGGCCGTTCTTAGTGATTTTTATGACAACTTTTAAGTATCAGTTATGTCACAATAAGTGAGTTGACATTGTTCTAGGGTTAATACTGAAGTTATTAATGTTACTTTTAACCAACTGATGACGATGACATCAATTTTTCTATTGCGTTCATAAGCATTTCATTAGGGGGAGGGCAACGGACTTTTTCCATAATTTTTTTTGTGTCTGTCATTTTTTGGCATTAAAATGGGAAACTAAGTTTTACTCAAGAACAAGAGTTCGATGTAATCATTGGGCGATTATCAAAATAAATAATCGATTATCAAAATAAATAATCGATTATTTAAAATAATTTATTCGGAAATAATCGATTAATCGGAAATAATCGATTAATCGAAAATAATCGATTAATCGGAAATAATCGATTAATCGAAAATAATCGATTATCGATTTAAAAAATATATAATGATCGACTATTCGATTAATCGATTATTAATCGATTAATCGATTATTTTGCCCACCCCTATACGGTACTCGGTCCAATTTTAATTATTCTTTATATCAACGGATTATTTTCCATCGAGAGTTCAGAAGAAGTTTTGGGATTCGCAGACGACACTTCAATATTTTATAAAGCTAACTCATGATTAGAATTAAACCAAATAGTTGAATATGAACTCCTAAATCTGAAAAGCTGGTTTGACAGTAAGTTACTGACTTTAAATGTAGATAAAACCCACTACTTTACCATTCAGAAATAATATTATAACAAGACCTTCATTTAACAAATTAACTTTTACTTCTTCTGGGCAAACACTTACCATTCTCCCTGAAAACATGATAAAATATCTAGGGATTTACAAAGATACATATCTCAAATGGAGAGAAAACAACTTTTATATGCCAAAAATTAACAATATTATATAAATTTATTATCTACAGCCACATCAACTTAAAATATTGTATCATAGCTTATTAGAAAGTCAATTTTTGAGATATGCCGCTTGAGATAACCACTTGAAGTTCTACAAAACAAATTTTTAAAAACAATGCTACAAGTATCCTTCAAACTCATTGTTTGTTAAGGCAAATATTATGAATCTGAAACAAATATTTTATTATATTATTAATATTAAATCCGAGAATACCGATCAAGGAGAAGCGACAGTAGCTGTCGGTGCCTTTGATATCGGATGTACCTTTTTCACAGTTTGACTTTGACTGATACACAACTTAGCACGCTGAGAAAACATGCTTATTTTCTACACTGACCGAAATAGTTTGGCAAATTATCTGAAATTATTGTTATAGTCCATGCGCAAATGTTGCAATGTGATTTAATTACATTGAAGTAGTTAGGGTTAAGCAATGCTGAAATTTCGGCACCAAAACATAATTCATTATGTAATAATTAATTATTTATTATAAAAGTAAAAGACGTTTATTATTTTATAATTTATCTATAAAATTTGTTCAATATTTGGTTTATTTATTGTTAAAAATGTAATAAAAGCCCCATATTTAAATTAAATTACCTTTTCCTTAACTAAAAATAAGGTAAATAAAATTAAGGGTGTCAAAAAAAATTTAGGTAACAATTAAAAAGACATTAGGTTTGAGAGGTTTAACTAAATATTTGCAATGTGCATATATTTTCAAAGCTTTTAGGTTTAAAAAGTACTTTAGAATTTCTAGATTTATATTATATTAAATTATATATTATATTAAATATAAATATCTCGCCAAGTTAAACTAGATGTCATTTAAGGTTTATGTTTTTTAAGTTAAATACCTGGTCTGGCTATTACCCAGACAATACAAATATATTGGACGTCCATTCGATATACAATTTTGGATATCTAGACGTCCAAAAATCAGTTTTCTGGACTTCCGACATCCAACGGACGTCCAGTGAAGTATACAAATGGCACACTTTTGACCATTCAGAGGACGTCCAAATCTGGAATATATTTAGACGTCGAATACTGGACATTCACAAAACGTCCAGGAATATATTTCCATTGAGACCACATCCCCACTTTTTTACAGAACCGCAACTCACCACACACTATTTTATATTATTTATAATTTGTTTATTTTTTTCGCAAATCGCTATACACCATTTATTTATTTATTTTTTATTAAAAATCGCTTGACCTGAGCAGGAATAGAACTCACGATACATCCATTATCGTTTTACGCTTTCAATTGCTAGACGAGCTCGACCAAGGAACCACTTGAAAACTTTTTACTAGATACAGTTATAATTGAAAAAGATTTCAAACTTCCTCTGATAGAATGAAATGCAATAGATTCAATTTGTCAATTTTTAATGACCAGTTATATTAAAAAAAGAAGTATATATAGATGGGTATTATCTGGTAGGCTTAATAAATAATGACCTAAGATATGGACGTCCACTGGACGTCAAAATACTACTGAACTTAAAATTAAGTCCAAAAACAGACGTTCTCTGGGTATCGATATTCAGCTGTCAATTTAATTAGCATCAACGGACGTACACTGGATGCCCGGATATGGACGTCCTGACCCTCAAATAGATCTAAAGTGGACGTCCATTGAACTATGTCTGCATAGACGAATTTTTATAAATAGTACTTATTTAAGTATACACCAATATTTCCAAAATCAACTCCAGTATGATTCATTCAATAAATGTAAATATGAATGGGCAAAACATCTTTATATTGACATAATTGTAACTTACAATTTAGCCATAATAAAGGGATTTTGCCCACTTTGACGAATCTTAATTGAAATAGGCGAATTTATTATATTTTTTTAAATATAATTTCAAAATTAAAATAAACAAAATCTGCAGTTTATTGTTTATTAAATTTATTTATTTAAAAGAAGAATAACATATATTTCACAAAATAGAATACCTACATATGAAAAATAAAATGTCAAAAATGATTAAATCATTTTACTTAATATTTATGCATGTGATAAAATTCTTAGTTTCCTAATAACTTTTTTGGCACATTTTATCTCTGTATTAGAATAACTAAGTGTGTAAAAATCTTCATCTTATTACTACACAAAACAAACACCAAAAAATATCACTTAACATTGCTCACGTACTAAACACAACTTGGACTGACTTTGACAGATAACATAATTTTGAGTGATACACAACTTATATTCGCACATGCGCGTTACAAAACGGTACACTGAAAACACCAAGCTGTCGCTTCTCCTTGATCGGTATTCTCGGATTAAATACCATTCAAATAAACAATTATTTAATTTACCAGATCATCCATATAGCAAAAGGCAAAAATATCTCCATACTATGCTTCGTACTTAGAAATCAGTAGGATAACGATCGTATTTGTATATAGTTCCAAAATTATATAAGACTATAGTATATTACATTACGAGTGTGGAAAGTGACATTTTTCACACGAGTGGGAAATATTGTCGCACGAGGCGCAAGCCGAGTGCGACTATCACACGAGTGTGGAAAATCACTATTCACACAAGTGATGTACAATATTTTTCCTACGACCACAAAATAATGTCATCAAAAAAATGTAAAACCAAGGTTATTATTACTATAATAATTATAATGTATTTAAAAAAATAATCAACAATAATCGTATTTATTCAATTTTCATATTTTCTAAACAAAAAAAAACTAAAAAAAAAAATAAAAAAAAAAATAAAAAAAAAACAAAAAAAAATTCTGCCCCGCCAGGCTTCGAACGCAGTCGAAAAATGGCAAAGTTGATAAGTTCGACGTCCTAACCACCTGAGCTAATAGCCCTTGTGTCAATTGAATGATCTAATCGGTTATGTATTTAACCAGAATAAAGAGCAAACATTATTTTAAAATTATTTTAATAATAATTGTTAAAGACATTACATAGATCAAAATAGAAATTAGATGTTTGACATTTTGTGACAACTACTGCGGAAAGTAACATATTCTCACTCGGGTGGAAAGTAAATTCTTATTCATACGCGTGTGATATAGGGCACTTTCCATAGAACTATATAGTGTGATATGTGTCACTTTCCTAAGTGGTCGTAGGAAAAATAATTTGAAAAATTTATCAAAATGAAAAAATGGAGGTAATAAATAATATTCTTTTAAATAACTGATATTAATTTGCGTTTTGTATTATCAACGTTTCGATATCTTTTGATTGTGTTTGTCTCCTACATAAAATATCTAAAATATTTTTATTATATATTAATTTTATTTTATATGTATATATTTTTTATTTACAGGGAAAGTCCTGTACAAATATTTAAAAAACAAAATAACATAACTATTTTGCTTAGGATACGTAATTAAAAAAAAATTAAGAGTTCTAACTTATTCATGGTGTTCTAAAGAGAAGATTAAAAATTAAAATTATTTGGAGGTTAGTCAGAATGACATATTCTCTAGAAATAGCGAAGATATATATGTCGGGTGTACAAAAAATAAGTAAGGAAATTGGGGTTATTTGCGGTGAAATCAGAAGTGACAGAATACGTCAAATAATATGTAAAACATATATTCAATACATAAACAAAAAAAGTACCTACAGGGGCCAGTCACCTGTTATATCTGTCATTAGGAATACCTGTTATAGCTTTAACTCAATTTAACTTCAAATCACAAGTATCTATTTACGTAAAGAAATTAATATTTATCATTTAATCGACCAGATAAATATTTAAGAAAACTGGAACGGCAGTAGTAGCTCAGTAATTGTTTTACTGTTAGTAAGCAACCATGAAGCTGATAATTTTTATGTTCGTTTTCGCAATCTTTTCTTTTGCTAACGCGAATGAAAAGCAAGAAGTGGAATTATTAAATCATGTCGACAAGGAATTAATTAATGAATTTATAACACAAGGATTAAGGTAAGCTATACTCGTAAATAGTAAAAAAGATATATACTGTCACGACTCTCCTTTTGAAAGGGTTGAAAGAATTATTTGAGATTATCAATTTGGGCTACCTTTCTTCATAAAATGAAAATCTATATAAAACATAACAATTTTATTCATCAATAAATAATACTCATAAAATAAAACATTTATAATAACAGACATTATAAAAGGGCTTTACCAAAACTTTTCCCCGTGACGCTTACTCTAAAACTAAAAGGGGGACTGTCCTCGTAACAGTAATCAGTGTCGAATTTATACCTATTAACTATTTACTGAATTTGCTATTTCTTTAATTTGACACAATTAATGCAGGTCGTGTTAATAATTCAACGAAATGTTCTATTAGAGATAATTATTTTTATTCTATTTAAAAGTGCGATAGTTTAATGTATTTTTTTTTATACTAACATGAGAAATCACCATTATTTACTCCATTCCTCTAATGAGAAGTAATATTTCTCTCCCTAGGTAAATAATGATAATAAAAAAAAACCTAGGTAAATAATGAAACTAAATTTCATTAGTTTCATTTTGTTAATTTGACAACTAAACTCCCAGACTACTTGATATTTTGAAATATTTGAAAAATAAGTAGGAAATAACTAAAGCTGGGTTTATCAAATCTAATCAAATCAAATATGATAATATATATCAGTGTAAACAGTAAAAATATATATTAACTAGGAAATTCAAATTATTAATTAATAACAATAAATCCATGTCATTAAAATATCAAAAATGCAATGGGATATTTCCTAGAATCATACCAAAATTTGACACATGCCAAATTTTTACATAAATAAAGCCAGTCTGATTAGAAACACGCTCCAGTCTGCTTGATATTTCGAAATATTTAACAAATTGTTAGGAAATTACTTATGTCAAAATTAAAATTGCTAATACATTAATGTTAGTAGTAAAAAAAATTATATATATACCTCGGCTGAGAAAGCTATTATTTACCTCGCACATTATATCCCTCGGCGCTACGCGCCTCAGGATATAAAAGTGTTCGGTAAATAATAGCTCACTTCTCACCCTAGGTATATAATGTACTATTAATAATGATTTTTTAATATTTTACTGGACGTGACAATAAAAAGGTTGATAATGATTAATAAGTCTCCAGAATAGTGTGATGGTCCATGATATCTTTACATCATCATATATTTAAAATAAAATTATCAGTCATCTTTTCAGGGTAACATAGACCTAAATACATGGAGATTCAAATAAGACAAAAACTTTGATTTATCTTATGATGCGATATAAAGGATGTTTGCATAAACCATTCTATACTCATAGAGGTCCGTAGAATCTTTAGTTTTACCATACATGTTGACAATTTAGAATATTGTTGAATTGACAGGAGGAACGTTTAAAGCTTATGGATTTTTTTTTGTGTACGGCTTCAACATCTAAGGTCATTAGCCTAGTGTTCTATGTAGGTTATGGATTGTACTAGTAATGACTTGTAAAATATTGAAATTAGTTTATTAGTATAAATTGATACTTTTTTTCAACTGTGCCTATAGTCGCGTCAAAGTAGGACTAAAAACGCAGAAACTTCGAACTTTGGTCGGAAAGTTTCGATTGGGCTATTTTTTTCTGCAAAATGTTCATTGAGACATGAGATTCAAAGTTCACCAAAATCTAGATGCCACTCGGCGTCCCTCCCGCCCCAAATTCACCCCAATTTGGGGGAATTCTCGGCTTTTTTCAACAAGCCACATACTTTTTATAACTGCAGTCACAAGCGGGGTAAATGTTCCACTCGGGGTGTTTAAAGTGCCCTGCATATATTATTTGCGTTAGGTCGCCTTTGTGACCTTCCCAGGGGTGTGTGACAGGGCGTCTGGGGGTCCAAAATATGAGATGTCCGTGGAAATGTGTTTGGGCTGCCAAGTTGCGTCAGGGGGGTTTAGAAGAGCGGAGATCTCAATTTCATCGAGAATTAAGCCTTTTCAAGCCATCAGAGCCGTATACACAGGGGCCCATGGGGTCTCAAATTTCATGATGACGCGGGATTGAATTTCAGGACACAGAATTGGTACGCGATAGTGTTATAAAACTACAAACTCTATATTGTGACCCAACCAGGGGTGTCCGAAAGGGGTGCCGGGGCCCAAAATATGTGATTTGATTTTATTTGATATCAACATGTAATACTGATATAATTCCGCCAGCGAGTATACTCCTTGGCCTTTTTGAGTCTCTGACGAACCCAGGTATGAGCGATAGGGGTTCCAAGGGGCCCCAAATTTAAATTCTCGTAAAATTCCATTTTCTCATACAAAGTTGGTATGATGAGGGTTTGTAAGAGTGTAATTTTATGTTGTTCTGGCTTGCAAGCAGGCGGCTCCAGAGCTCCAAGAACGAGGGTGCTGAGGGGGCGAAACTATTAAGTACCCCCTGGGACTCGATTTGATTCGATTTCATTATATAAAATTATTTTAATTGCGCTGACCAGGCAGCTAACCAATGGTTTATTCGAGTGGCATTTAATCTCAGCCAATACAACGACATGCCCAGATCAACAAGGACATTATTTCGATGTTTAGGGTTGGGGCACTTGGCCATCACATCACACGAAATCTTGAAGGTTCTTAATTACAATTCTTTATCAGAGTTATATACTCTTGAACCTCCCGGAAAAGGGTTTGCTGGAAATCTAAGTCTACAATTCATCTGATATTTTGTGAAGATAGTAACTGGTATACTCTAAAGATAAAATTAGAACAAGACTTAGAAAAAATAAAGATGTGGTTTGATCATAGGCTCTTGTCATTAAACTTTAAAAAAACAAATTACATACCATTTAGTTTTTATAGTAACGCTCTTCCGAATTATAACCTTATTGTTGGAAATACGTTTAGCATTACCCCTGTAGAAAAAATAAAATACTTTGGAATTATAATAGACCATAACTTAAGGTGGGATAAACACATAGAATATTCCTTAAAAAAACTGCGTTGTGTATTACATAAATTTAAACAAATATGTTGTATTCTTGATTTTAAACAAAAAATATTGTTATACATAGGATGGAAATCGTCCAAACGTCCTATGAGTCCCTTTTTCGGGAATTGGGTGCACTATGGAAGTGAGTACGCATATGCGATAGATGCTCAAGACATCGTAGGTCACTGATAAGAAGCATTTTTTCATCTCTCGTCAACTGTCACTTTTTTATGACGTTTTGAAAATTTCTTTATCGTTTTTCGACGTTTTAATGGAGACGAATAATTTTTTTAATATTTTTCCTAAACACCACTTGCCTCTCTCTACCTCACCACGCACACAAATTTTTCGTCGGGCCCCCCTATCAGCCATATCTAGGTTCGTCAGAGACTCAAAAAGACCAAGAAGTATACTCGGTGGAGAAATTATCTCAATTTTACATTTTGATATCAAATAAAATAAAATCTCATATTTTGTGCCCAGCACCCTGTTCGGACACCCCTGGTTGGGGCACTGGATGACAAGCTGCCCAAATTTAGATTTGTTTGTTTTATTACCAATTCTGTGTCCTGAAATTCAATCCCGCCTGATCATAATATTTGAGACCCCATGGGCCCCTTTTTATACGACCCTGAGGGCCTGAAAAGGCTTAATTCTCGATGACATTGAGATCTCCGCCCTTCTAAACTCCCTTAGCGCAATTTGGGAGCCCAAATACATTACCACGGACATCTAGTATATTGGACCCCCAGTGGCCCTGTCACCCACCCCTGGGAAGGTCGCAAAGGCGACCTGACCCAAATAATCAATCAATGAACATTTTGTAAAAAAAATTGTACCGATTGGACCTTTCCGACCAAAGTGAAAACCTACTTTGACGCGACTACTATACAACTACTTAAATGAAACAACTTTTTCAAATAACTTTTTTAAAATAACTTGAAAATTATTTTCATTCACATGAGCCATTTTTACTTTCCTATCTGTGTACAGATAAGGAAAGTATAGGAATCATGATTTATTTTCGATTGATTTTTACAAAATTGGTATTCGAGAAACTTGACAAATTATAAAAAATGAAATTTTTATAAAAATTGTTCAAATAAAAGTTGTGATATAATTCTCTACAATTTTTGTATTATACATAAGTTCTCTAAAATGGACCGTATTCGAGATATTTGAGTAAAAGTGTAATTTAGAATTTTAAAGAAAACTCAAAAACGGGCTTTATTCTGGACTGAAGTGAACTGATAGATTTTGTGCAGAGTTGGGGGGTACTTTATAGAGGTTCGTTTTTATATTTTATGGAATATATTAGTTATTTTTGTTTAGAGAAGAAAATTGTTTATATAAAAGTTACTTCTTACATTATTCTCTATAATTTTTTCCCTAAAATGGACCGTATTCGAGATATTTGTGAAAATGTAGAATTTTTGAATTTTGAAGAAAACAAAAACGGATAAAGAAAAAAACCTTAAATTTTAAACTTATGCTTTATTCCGACCTGAGGTTAACAGATTTAATTTTGGGCAGAGTCGGAACATTTAGGGGGTACTTTTTAAGGGATCATTTTTATATTTTATGAAATATAGGTACCTATCTGTTATTTACGTTTGGGGAAAAAATTTTTTAAATAAAAGTTACTTCTAATATTATTATCTCTATATTTTTTTTTACACAAAATTTTCCTAAAATGGTCCGTATTCGAGAAATTTTTTAAAATGTAAAAAAATTTTGATTTTTAGAAAATTGCGATATCGATTTCTATAATTTTTGTTTTTAGATGATTTCTCAAAAATGGACCTTAATGGAAAAATTAGAGGAAAAGTATAAAATTTAAATTTTTCAGAATTTTCCTTGGCAATGAGTGTATATAGAAAAATGATTCGAGTTAGAAGTATGTGGAAAATGTATATATTAGGTCAACCTCTAAATATTTACAGAAGTGCTACAATAGGTTGTACAAAATAACCGAAAAAAAGCCTGTAATAACTAGATAGGAAAATCATGTGTTGACACATCAGATTTTTATTTTTAAACAAACCCAAACTAACTTAAATCTATCACGTGAGGAACTGACAACAAATTGAGATATCACTACTTGATATAAAAAATGTAAACAACAACAAAAAACTTCAGCCGTCGTACCAATGAGATTCTTCGACTTTTTAAATTAGCTTTTCTCCCTTATTTTTGAGTTATTTGAAAAAAATTATTTGAAAAAGATTTAAAAAATAATAATATTTGCTTTTAGAACTATTTTCTTTTTACGGCATTTTGTTTCTGTTGATTATTGTTGTCAGTATTATCAAAATATATTAATGCTGTACAAAAATTGTTCGCTGTGAAATCTTACTTTTCAGAGGGAAATTAATTTTCATCTGCTAAGCACATATTTCATGAAAAATGTACGGCATGGCCAAAAATGTCATTATTTTATAAAATAGAATTAGAATCAGTGATTCAGTAATTCGATATCGGTTCTTACTATAAATTGATTTTCTGAATCGGGATATTGGTAAATTACTTAATACTTGTATTAAGTTTTCAAACACTTTGGACTCTAAAAAACTTTCTTTCTTGTAAAATTATTTAGCGGTGCAGCAATATCTGCGAAATTTTTTGCATATTTCCTGTAATAGTTAACGAAAGCAACAAATCTTTTGACTTCCTGATAATCTTTTGGAACGGGATAATATTGAATAGCTTCTACTTTAGAAGGAACAGGTGCAATACCATCTGCAGAAATTATATGATCTAAACATAGCATTCACATTTATTTGGATTTATCTTTAGATATGCTTCCCTCAATCTTTGGATAACTTTAACTAAATTTTTAGTGTGATTTATTAAATTATTTGCAAAACCAATTAAATGGTCAAGATAAACAAAACAGCATTCATAGTGTTATTGCCCGAGAACATTCACTATGGCTTGTTTTCAAACCCATAGGAAGTCGAGTCATTTGATACTGACCTCGATCTGTGTAGCAAAGACATTATATTTAGTTATATCTAATAATAACCTTGAGAAATAAATCAAGATGAGGAAAATGCATTGCACCTAAAAATGCATCGCACCTAAAAATGCATCTAAAATTTTTGTAATACAATGTAATGGAAATTTATCATCTTCTATTTGTGCATTCAACTGCCTACTGCAAATTTTAAGACGAAAAAGATAGTGCGGCCATATTAGAATACTAAACATCTTTTCGAAGATTTATAACGTCAAATAGCAGCAGATCTAAACACAAAATTGATTATTATTGTTGATAGCAGCTTAAACAATTACAATAGTCTTCAGTCATTGTGCAATTTAAAGATGCCAAAATAGAATAAGATCTACATTAATAGGAAAAGAATCCCAACACACACCTACTACTTTATTTAATATTTGTGCATATATTTATATTTTGCAGGATAAATGAAGCAGCTGGTATTACAGCTCAGATAAACGAATTCATGGACAAACTTTTTCCAAACCTTAGCAAATTTTGCGTATCCCACAATTTAGATCCTGCTCCTCTCAATGATATTAAACAAAAGGTACATAATTTTTTTCCTTTAATTTTGACGTATAAAGTGACATCTTTTATAAGCGCAGTAAGTGTCAAAATGATCTACGTACGTTACTGAACTAGTTACATAAAACTGAAGAAGGTTATGCCACTCCTCAAATTATCCCACATGAAACAAAATAGTTTTATGTGAGATTCATTTTGTGTTCTTTGGTACTATAGTTACATAAAGTTAAATATTATGTAACTGGTTACGAAAAGTTCATTTTGACACCAGCTGAGAAAATAAATTCAAATATTTTTTTTATTTTAAAATAAATACATATACAGTGCATAATTTAAAATTTATAAGTAAAATCCTAAAATACATCAATTTTTAATTTTAAAATCAATTTTTTAAGCATAATTTTATACCTAGCCCCTTTGAGGCAACTGCAACCCCCTTAAAACTTTTAAATTATACGAGGTTACGTGTAATAGCCCATTTAAAATGTTTTTAATCCTCTATCCAGCAATATTAGGTTTTTGAATTTAATTTTTAATACTCCACCATGAAAATTAAATTTTTAAATTTAATAATATATTTTAAATATTTATATAATCAAATTTATTTTAAACTATAGCTTAAATTATCATCAATAATTTCGTTTTCAAAAAGTTTATACATGTTTGTTTTAAAACAAATATCTTTTGTAGATTTAGTTTCAAAATTTCGTTTTAAATTATTTGCTTTCGTTTCATCTTTTTTTATAACTTCACAACAAGAAAGTATTGTTTCTTTGACTGGACTATATTTAAATGGAATTTTAAAATTATCACCTATTAACTTTTGTTGAGTTAAGTTTATAATCAAGTTCAAGTTTATCAAATTATTTAAACCTAATACGCCATCAAAAAATGTATTAAAATCGTAAAGAATAAAAAAAATTTTCGAAACATATGTAGTGCTGTGCTAAACGATAGAAAATAGAAACATGACTAAATAAACTAAGGACATTTTTAATTATGTAAAGAATAAAGTCATTAAAATTGAACTCTGCAAACGCTGGCACTAAAGCTTGATAATTAATCTGTTCACTTCCCATACTTATGGACAAGATAAATTCTGAATAGTAAATTGTTTGCGGAAAATATTTTTTTGCCAATGAAGGTTTTATTATTGACATACAACTTCCTGTATCAATTAATAGTTTTAATTTGGGTTCGCGTATTTCGATATAAGGTAATGAATTATTTGAAATATTGTGCAATTCCACTATCGTTTTGTTTTTAATAAGGCCAATATCTGAAAATTTTGTTCAAAGTTACCTTTTTTTAAATGATTCATTTGCAAATTTAATTTGATTTGGATTTTCAAAATTACCATGACGATAATCTTCATTGTTGTTATTTAAATTGGTATCATTGCAAAAATTGGAATGTAATTCTTTAAATGTAAAATTGGGTCTTGAATTACAATTTTGAAAAGTTCTGTTATCAAAAATTGTCATGATGTCGTCGACATCGGTTCTGGTTTAAACAATTGGCTTTCTGGAAATTGATTTGGTTTGAAAACATTTTTTGGTCTTAATGATTCAAAAAATTGTTGATTAGTAAAATATTTTTAATTTAATTGTGGCATTGGTTGTACATTTATAGGTTGTCAAGGAAAATGATTAAAATTAGCTTCATATTAATTATTTACTGGATTTTAATTAAAATTTCTTTGATAATAATTTTAATTTCTGCAATGGAAATTTTCTAAATTATTTCTGCGATAATTAAAATTATTTGAAAAATGATTTGGTCTTTGATTATTTTGATAAAAATTTAGTTTGTAAAATCATAATTTGGATTCATATTATTAGCATTTCGATTCAAATAAGAATTATTATTTCTTTGAATATATAAAACTCTCGCTTTTATTAATCTGAAATGTTGTACAGTGCCGTACTTATTGTTTTGTTACTATTAAAAATATGTATGTTTTTAACAGTAATTATAAGTATATTTCTATTTTAAATTGTTTTAGTTTCTAGCAGCAAGTATAGCCTTCGATAAAGGTAAATTACATGGAATATCAACTTTGACTAGAAATGGTGATGTTACAGTCCGCTACCAGAGTAATATAAAAACGTTGACGTTTAACGTGCCAATTATATTTTCGGATCTTAGTGTAAGTAATCACCTATTTTAAAACTTTATTATGTGTGGAATAGCCAAAGATATCCATAGACATCATACCTATTATCTAAGATAAATTGGCCCTTCACAGTGTTTAACCAATACACATTTTGTTCGCATTATACACAGAACCAAACTTACATGGAATCACTATGTATTTGTAAATAAAATTTTTGTAAGGAAAAATTTGGTATCCAACTTTAAGATAAGGTTTTTTATTCGAAACATATTGATAATGTTGTTATAAACCCATTTTATTCATAAGTAATGCTTCCTTTTACCTCATAGTTATTGACGATCTAAGATAAATGTAATGTCAAATGTCAGATGTCAAAAAAAAACGAAGAAGGTTGTGCCTGTGTCTCTGATGTAGATGATAAAGAATGATTGTCTCTGGTATTAATAATAATTAGAACGCTACTTGCATATTCATTGTCTTTATTAAATAAACGTTATATAAGTGTTCTACTGCGTATTAATATATTGACCAACAATTACAACAGGTTATGGACCCAGAAATTCAAGATTAAAAAGTAATAAAAAGTTATTCAAAAGCCGTTAAGAAAAGTAAAAGAAAATGGCGTCAGAGAAACCAAAAAATAATTTTAATATAGAATTACTTAACTCAAACAATTACCATGCATGGAAATTCATAATGAATGTTCTGTTTGAAGAAAAAATGTATTACAAAGTATTAAATGCGAATATGAAGAAGAAAAATATGAAAATGAGGCAATGAAGAAAGAAGCAAAGAGTAATGATGGCCAAATCGATTTAATTCGAGATAAAAATACAGCTTTTAGCATGTAGAGAAGCTTAGAAGAATGGTATGAAAAGAAGGGCATTCCGGGGCAGATGATTCTAAGAAAAAAATTAATGACCATGAAACTGTAAAAGCCAAAGTAACAGGAGCTGAAATTAAAGATGAAGATTTAGTATGTACGTTACTTCTTGCTATGCATCCAGTTTTTGAAACTGTAATTACAATATTAGAAAACATGACTTTGAAATCGCGAAAACAAAATTAAGAAGTGAGATTGAAAGAAGAAAAGCAGTAAATAATGACAGCAATGAAGTTAGAGACAATATTAAGCCAGCAGCCTTTACAGTAGCTAATAGAAAAGGAAATTGTCTTATATGTGGAGGAGAATGTAGGAGCAGAAATGTGTATAGAGGTGGTTTTCGAAGTCATAGTTGAGGAACATTTGAAAACAATAGAGGTTTTATTGGAAATAGAGGATTCAGAGGTCAAAATTACAGAGGAGGTTATAGAGGTGATTTCAGAGGTAATTTCAGAGGTAGCTACAACTATAGAGGAAATGGGCATCAAAATGAAAGAAACAGGGATGAAAATGCACAAGGGAACTTTGTACAAAATGAAGAGGACGTTGAAAATAAGAGTATTTGTTTTATGACCAGACTAAAAGATAACTTAGATAATAAGAACCAAAATAATAATAATGTAAGTAATATTTTGTTTTATATAAACTCAGGATGTACGGATCATCTAGTGAACAATAAGAAATATTTTTCTGATTTTATGTATTTGGGTAACCCTATAAAAATTTCTGTTCCAAATTTGCGTCAAAATTTAATGTCTATAAAACGACAAGAAATGCCAAATGTAAAGGTTATTTTTGATAATGGTATTATTGTACTGGGTCTTCAACAATACCGAAAACCCACGTGACCAAATCGTCATGACAGCGATTGGTGAAAATAAAAGTAAAAATCCCTAAATTTGAGCCAGTGCCGTAGATCTTCTTTTTCTATGGTCTGCAACTACGAGAACAAAATTCAGTTAGGTAACTGTTAGAATTACAACACAAAATCATAATATTAATTAGAGGTGCTTTACATTATTGTATTTTAATGTTAGAATTGGATATTTTAATTAGATTTAATCAAATTCAATAATCTAATTTTTAAAATTATGATATAAATAACATAACCTTAAAAACTGAGCTCTAGTTTGTATTTAACGAAAAGAATAATAAACTGAAATATGGTTCGTACTAGTTATTGTCACTACTACAAAAAAAAAACTTTACTAGAACAGGGCACAAAAAAGTTATGGATAAAAATGTTATGCATTAAAATATGAATAAAATTAAAAATTATTTACTTTAGATTGACTCTTTAAGGGCCGATTCCACCGAGATTAAAATGACATTGTTAATGTAAAAATGTCATTTTAAACTTCGTTTAACACAACGGTGGAATCGGTCCAAAGATAATTTAGCTACAGCTGAAACTCTAAATACGATAGGCAGAAGACAATGGCAGTATTTGGCAATTATTGCAATTTAAGTAAACAAATTTAAAACTTACTGGAATTGAACCTGGACAATGGGAAGTAATAAACACATAATTTAAGTTTGTTCTATTATTTATTTGTTACAGGGTTTAAACTATTTACAAAAAACATTGTTATTTATATGCATACAAAAAAATATTAATATTATTAATGTAACAAGCACATAGGGTGAAGTCGCCAGTTGTCGGACAGTTAAGAGAAACATGGATTTATAAATTGTATTATAAAAACAATTGTCAAGAAAATATCAAAAACGAATATTTATGATTTAGCTTATAGTTTTTTCTAGTGGCTGAGCGGAAACAAAAGTTTTCATTTTTAACGGTTATTTTAAAAACAATTTTTTTGTTTAAAATATGCATTTTTCCTAGTTACCGGACATCGTTCTCTAGTTGTCGACCGATCGGATACTAGTTATCGGACAGGGGTTCTTTCAAACAGAGTCGTAATAAAAATAAATGTCACACAGCCATAATTATGTAGTTTACGTTTTACCTATACCTATGAGTTTACATATTTTACAAAACCAACACAAAATAGGTCTATATTTGTGGTTAGGTACATATTTTCCATGAGGTAATAAAAAACAAAGAGCAAATAACAGTTATTTAATAATTATTCTAACTAATCGAAAGTAAAGTAAACAATTGCAACCTTCCCGAAACAGATAAAAATTAGCAATTAGGAGTCATTTCTACAAAAATCGCAAATGTAATCTTTATGTTTCACCTCACAATATTTTAAGCCATGGAAGTGTGTGCATCCCAAATGATACCATCTCGGACATACATCGCATCCGACATTTTTTTCATTTTCGTCTTCGGCATCACTGTCTAATATTTCATCACATATTCCACATTTCTGTTGTTCGTAAGTTGTCACATTGACATTTTTGGGCAATAATATTTCACTTTCATCTTTTGTTGCTTCTAATATATTGTCATTTTTAACTTCATTGAAACTTTCTTTGTGTAAATTTTCCTTCTTTTTATTACCTACGCGTTTCCTCTTATTTTTTGAATTTTCTTTTTCCTCTTTTTGTTTTAATTTTTCGTCATAATGTTTCCTCCATTCCTTTGACGAAATAGCACTTGGAAAATTATTTCGATTGGTTTTCAGTTTTTTTTCAAGAGGTTTTGGGAAACGGAGGTGGTTTTTAAAGGCAAGTTCGGCTTCACTTTTATATTTCTTCTGTGTAATGTCTTCAGCTGTTTCATATATTCTTTTATCTGTTTCTGCTTTATATTCGGGAAATATTTCAACTACCGTTTCATCAGTTGAAGAATAAAGTTGAGGTTGAATATTTGATGCGTTTTCTATTATATCGTTTGGTAAAATAATAAGTCTGTTTTCACTTTTGGCTGGTTGTAGTAATTCATCATTTGAAGTGGAGGGTCGAGGTTGAATATTTGATGCGTTTTCTATTATTTCGTTCTGTAAAATAATAATCCGGTTTTCACTTTCGACTGGTTGTAGTAATCCATTAGTTAAAGCGGAGGGTTGAGGTTGAATATTTGATGCGTTTTTTATTATTTCGTTTTGTAAAATAATAATTCGGTTTTCACTTTCAGCTGGTTGTAGCAGTCCATCAGTTGAAGTGGAGGGTTGAGGCTGAACATTTTCTTTTATTTCGTTTTCACTTTCGACTGGTTTTAGTAATCCGTCAACGTCCAGATCAAAGTTCATTATATTAGCATCATCAAATATTGTTTCGGAAATATCTTCACTAGGTGCTTTTAAAGTATTTATTATGTTAAGCATAACTTCGACATTAACGCCATTGTCTTCTAACTCGGCTTTTAAAACTGATATTACTTTTTCTGCACTTTCTATATCATTTGATGTTACGTCAGCCTTGAAATTAGATATTTTGTTTGTGTCTACGTTAAGTTCTTCTAACGCATTTTGCACACATTTACTATAATCTAGCGCATCTGGGTTAAAGGGATATAGTCCACAAACTTTGAAGCCGCTTTTTATATTAACCACCATATTTGGATGTTCCAAAGCTTTTTTAAAGATAGGGCAAAATTCACTTTTTGTTACAACTTTATTATGTTCTAACTGCCACTCTCGAACATATTGCCGCCAATATTCCTTCATCGGTTTGAAGACTGATACATCCGCTGGTTGAATTAAATGAGTTGCGTTTGGAGGAAACGCATACAGAATTATTCTATTTGCATCACAAAACTGGCTAAGCTCAAGAGATAAATGCGATCGGTGTCCGTCAACTAAAAACAGAACAGGTTTTTTGATACGTTGTTCTGTTAACCAAGAGTTTAGTCCATTGGCAACGAATTCATAAAAAACGTCTGAACGCATCCAGCCTGATTCAGATTTCCCCAAAATCCACTGTTCAGGGATGCTGTCAACAACAGCTTTTGGAGGTCGTACGTAAGGGAATACGACAACGGGATGACACATTCTTCCGTCTCCAGTAAATGTAACCAACACCGTTAAGTTTTCTTTCTCATTTCCTTTTTTCACCACGTATGTATTATGACCCTTCAATCCCAAAACTTTACCTGTTTTAGGGCAGAGACTAAAACCAGACTCGTCCGCATTTAAAATACGACTGGGGTCGTCCAGTATGTCTGCAGCTCCAGATTTTTGTAAAAAATCTTTTAAATCACTAAACCATTTCTTTATAAATTCTTTGGTTAATTTCGCTCTAGAAGAATCTAGAGCTTCTACTGATTTCATTTTAATTGTTGGATGCCGTTTCAAAAAACTGGAAAACCATTTTTGTCCCGGACGTCCACCTTTAAAAGGAGTTTTTAAATTTCCATCGATGACAATTTTCTGAACAACATCTAATAACTCCTCTTTTTTTAAAGGAAAGCCACATTTTGCCAGCTCAGTCAACCATTGGACTATTTTTTCTTCATACTTTTCACTTAGTACTGGATCTGGGCCCATGCGAGAAATCGTATCTGTGGTAACTCTACCCTTAAGACGGTCCAGTACGGTCGACTTCGGTACACCATAGAGTCGACATATTTCCCGCAATTTGCCTCCTTTTCTTATTTCCTCGCATGCAAGAATTAAGTTTTCTGGGGCATAAGTATTTTGTCTTGATTTTTTATTACTTTTATTCATTATTTTTCCAGTATTTTTTTAATTAAACTGAAAAAAACAACACAAATCATTGTGAAACTCCAGTTAAAAATTTGCTGGGCGAATACTGGAAGTTCATAAAAAATGGCATTAGTCCAATAATCGGACACCTAGGACAAACGTTTTTCTACATGCTTACGTCAAAAAAATTTGTCCGGCCACTGGTTTACACACAGTTTACACGGAAACTATAAATATAAAAAGATGAGAAAGAACACATTATTTTAAATAAAGCGGACAAAGATGAATACAGTTGCAAATAAATTTACCAGTATCCGGACACTTGTCCGCATATTAGCATATTGCTCAAAAAGATATTCCAGTCTCCGTCCAGTCATTTTCTAGCAGTAAAAGATCACTATCTACCGAATATTATTAATTATTATTGAGTTTAAACTATGTTAATGACATCGGTAACTTAAAACTTACATTTATATTAGAAATAAGAGCTTTATCTTACCTAATACAATGAGGATGACACTATTTTTTTTGTATTTTGAGAACGCTTTCGTAGACACTCAACTTATAACCATTATTGCTTCTGTGCTGGTTGGAACTATGGCGATCAGATATATATGAGTATGCGGAAATAACATAGAGGAACTGACGCCTATTTTCCCGCCCGTTTTAAAGAGGTGGTTTCGTTATTATTTGATTTTAAAAGTGGTTTGTCCGTTCACTGGTAGTGTCCGGCTTACTGGCGAGTTTACCCTATTTGTTTTACTTTAAAGCTCTTACTTCTCACTTTAAATTATAAAGGCATATCTATAAACAACTATTTTATTTAAAAGGTTATTGAGTAGTAATTGGTGGTGCACAAACGATACTAATTCACAGTACCTATCTGTTCAAAATCTTTACCACCAGCTTTAATGCAAGCATTAAACGTTCTTTTTTGAACACATTATGCAGTTTCTCTTCAGTTATATTTTGTATATCATTCAATATAGGTGCTCCAATTCATAAAAGTCACAAACTATTTTGAATTGAGCGATCTGTAATATTCCATATGTAGGTTTAACAAAATTAAGGTAAAATGATTGTTGCAGTATCGAAACTTTATAGGGGATGCATTATCAGTTTTTTTTTTAACTTTATGGCTAGTTCGTAGTGATAAACCTAAAAAAAAATATGTTTTGAATTTCACTCGCCAGAGTCAGTCTTTAAAACACCGTTCATACCTGTTTGAGGTGCTGTTTTTTTTTACTAATTTATTGGGAATTAACACCATCTTAATTTGCACATCTTCAACAGGTTTTGTTATTACTTTGGGCATTTTAGAGCTTTTTCCTTTTTTTGAACAAGTATTTGTTTATGACGACAAAAAAGAATCACATTCCATTTATTCACCTGGAAAACGTTCCTCAAATTTTCGAATATAATTACGAATATAAAATAATTTTGTTCCACTATAACATTACCTAAAATAAATTATATAGTCATTAACTTTTACGAGTTACAGTAAATAAATTTGTACTTACCAACAAAAAAGAATTAAGCCACCAATATTCTCTAAAAATAACTAATTGCTTTATTAATATTAAATGAAAAATGGACTAAGGGTGTTTATAAAATGTAAACAAATATAATATAAATATTAGGTTCTTTCGTTCGCTATTGGTGAAGTGTACACCAGTGTAAATTACACCAGTTACACCACTTTATTTACCTTAGTTTACTTCCCTCCTTATTCCTTATATACATGTCGAGTGTAATTCACTCCTGCTAAATAGCTGGTGGAGAAAATATCCACCAGTGGATACCACATCGCCGACAGGAAGGTTTAGTGGATTTTACACCGGGCCGAACGAAAGGTTTAGTGTACGTTGGTGTAGTTCATTCCTACACCAGTGGGACGAACGAAAGAACCTCTTGTCAGTCCCCAAATGAACGCCAGTGACATTTCTGACAGGATTGACAGTTCAGTTTAGTTCCTTTTACGTCAAATCAGGCCCTTTCGATGGGTTTTTGATGGTTATCAGATACGTGGGTTTCGGGTATTGTTGAAGACCTGGTACAAAGGAAATGATATAGTAGGAATAGGGAAAAGAAATAGGTTATATGAAATAGTATTTGAGTTAAATATTAAAGAATGTCTAAACGTAGAATCTGAAAATGACAATGTTAAATTATGGTATAAAAGACTAGGACATATGAGTAATTCTTTTTAAATAAGTTGGTAAATAAAAATATGGTAAGAGGTATAGAAAATTTAAAGGTAAGTAAAATTGATTTTTGTGTGTCCTGCATACATGGTAAAATGATGAGGCTAAATTTTGGAACAAGAACAAAAGCAAAAAGGGTATTAGGTATAGTTCATACTGACATTGCAGGACCAATAAGTCCATTAAGTCATTGACGATTTTTCAAATTTCATTTATGTTTATGTAATCAAAAATAAAAGTGATATTTTTGAATGCTTTAATGAAAACGTTAATACAGTTCAAACTAAGTTTAATTTAAAAATAGCAGTTTTGAGGTGCGATAATGGCAGAGAATATATATCAAATTAAATAAAGGAATTTTGTAGAAATAATGGTACAGTGATAGATTATACTACCCCGTATACACCGGAACAAAATGGCAAATCAGAAAGATACATTATTAGACAAAGCAAGAGCTATGATCCAAGAAGAAAACTTACCAAAATAATTTTGGAATGAGGCAATAAGGGTAGCAGCTTATATTATAAATAGAAGTCCACATAGTAGTTTAAAAGATAAGACACAAGCTGAGATATGGAATGGAGAGAAACCTAATATTAAAAATATGAAGATATTTGGATGTAATGCCTATGCATACATACCACAACAATTTAAAGGAAAACAGAAATGATAAAGGTATGTGGTTAGAAGCAATGCATAAGAAAATCAAATCAATAGAAAAGAATGAAACATGGAAAGAGGTTAGAAAATCAGAAGGTGAAGAAATTTTGAATACCAGATGGGTATTTGCTATAAAGCCTTATGAAGATAAAATAGAAGACAAATATAAAGCTCGACTTGTAGTAAGAGGTTTTGCTCAAAAGGAGTCACTCAATTATGATGATATTTACTCTCCGGTAGCGAGAATGTCTACAATTAGAACAATGTTATCAGTTGGGAATTAAAATATGCACTATTTTAAACAATTAGATGTAAAGACAGCTTTCTTAAATGGGGATCTTAAAGAAAATATATATGTATATCCACAGTGAATGTAAAATGTAAAGAAATCTTAAAATTGAAGAAATCATATATGAGCTGAAACAGGCAAGTAAGTGTTGGAATCCGAAAATAAATGAATTCTTGATAAGTTTGAAATTCAAAAGATCTGAAACGAACTATTGTTTATATATGAAAAGAGATGACAGGGAAATTATGTATCTATTACTATATGTAGATGACATAATAATTTCAGGACCATATAGAAGAATGTAAAAGACAATTAATAAGCAGTTTTGAAATTCAAGATAAAGGTAATCTTAGAAACTGTCTAAGATTAGAAATAAAGTATGAAAGAGAAAAAGTATATTGTAGATAAATCAAGAGAAATATATAGAAGGAATACTTAAAAGGTTTAATTGAAAATTGTAACCCTTGAACCACCCCTATGGATCCAAAAAATAAATTAAGAGTTGTAGAAGATGATAAATGAAAGTGCTAAATTGCGATTTTGTTATTCTAAAATCATTGATAAAAAAATATATTAACAGCAAATAAAAATAATTATGAAGCATAAGGTTTATTTTTATTTTTTGTAAATAATATAACTTTCTTAATTTAAAATTTAATCTATGAAGTGCCTATAAACCATTTTACATGCCGTGACCTTATTTATATTACTGAAACTTATTTTGCAAAGTAGGCCTATGTAATGTAACGTTATATCCCCACCTGTACTGCACTCCTCTTTATTCAGACTATAAAAAGTAACACTATCGTGCTTTTGCCTAAAATGCAGTAACAAATAAAATTAATTGTAAAATACTAATATACTTTTTATTTTTCAGTTTACTTACGATTATTTAGTTAAAGTGATAATAGCAAAATACTCAGGAGATTTGATAGGTGAAATAGAAAACCTAAAAATGTATATTCAACTGAGTTTCAATTTAAATACTTTGACAGCCAAGGTTGACCAATTAAAAACTACGCACAGTGGGTAAGCTATTAATTTAAGTTCTACTATATAAAAAAAATTATAAAAGTGTATCCGTCTTCTCAAATATGGTCAATGAAATGAATTTGTGTATTATTTTGTTTCTACTATATCTTTCGTTCTACAGGAATTGTTCCTGAGATAGCATACTTTTTGTATGAGCCCATATTTTTTCTACAAAACAAATTATATTATATTAAAAAAACTTTATAAATAAAAAAAATGCTACACCATTATTTTTATTTAACGCTAAAAACACATTTAAATAATTTTATTTTCGTGCAAATATAAAAATATTGAAAGATGAAAAAATATTCAGGCAAATAATTTCAAATTCTCACTTGGTAATAGTAGTTATGATTTCGCCTTAACGACAGCATATTATTTTTTATTTCCAAGCACATTGTAGATTTTTCTTCTACTGTTTGCCTAAGTGTTTTTTTTTTTGATTTGTGAACACTATGGAGGTATTTTATTTCAATTATGGCATTATCTCCTAAAAGAGCTATAAAAAAATAATAAAATTAATATGATTAATAAAATGATATGACGTATATGTATATTATTTCTTATACATTACCATCAGGAGAGGCTGCCAAAAACCCATGCACTTCGTCTACAAATATGCCGCATGTTCTAATATTTGCAGATGCTCTTCGCTTCCAAAATAATTGCAAAGCAACACTTTCATTAGCTCTACCATATAACATGGCTTCTGACGTGAAATTGGTTTCGTAAAGGATTTTTTTACTAGGTTATGATAAGGAGTAGTTTTCCTCCTCTTCACAACTTCCCCAATTACAGATGCAGTTAATCGGTTTCGTCTTTCACTTCTGTATTGAGGATCATTCCACTGTCCCCTTGTTTTATTTTCTATTAAAATAATGTCCACCATTAAAACCTAAAAGTAAAATAATTTTAAATTATACATATAATATAACGTAGTATAATTGCTGTCCAAATATTTCAAATCACTTACCCCGTGCTTAATCCAAATAAAGTCACCCACACTAGATTGTTTGCCACTGGATACCAAAATACACGGAATACAATAAAATTTGTTGGTTACTTCACAACCACACCGCCATGAATACTTCTCATAAATTGTTCTATTAAAACTACGTTTAAACGTACGTTTTTGTGTAATATCTATTTGCTTAATCTGCAAATTCGGCATCGGCCGCCCGAGCGTCTTTGCCGCGATTTTGTCATTAAACGATAACGCACCGTTTAAAATATTTTGTACGGAATTCCCCGCAGAATTCATATTAGTGAAATAACAATTATATATTACACTTATTAAAAAGAATTACCAAAATTTACAGCCCCAAAAGATCAACAAGCAAAACCACCCGGCAGCGCTAAGTTGAAGGTAAACAAATAAACCATGTGTACAGCACGTTACGATGAGGACAGCGCCCCGTTTGTGATGTATAATCCACCGAATGTGTTTATCTCTTGCTAAGCGATATTGTCGTTGTCATAATTAGAGAGAAAACAACAGAGGCACACATTTACTGTGCCCTGTGCCCATCCCCCACTTAATTTCGGCATTCTCAGAACGTCGCTCAACGCCTGGTCGTCCAGTGTCGTGCCAACGCGGTTTGCGCTGAATATTAGATAAAATAATAATAGGCATTGCGGAAAATATAAAATATGTAAGTTGTATATTAGGGCACGTGCCCAAGTGCCCTTACAGACAAACCGCCACTGCCCTCAAGCTACACCACCCTACAAATTTTGTTAATAATTTTTTTTATTATCTCTCAGAAAGGATGATTTTGAACATTTCCACAAGATTGTACACCCTGTATATATATATATACGTATATTAACTACATTGATTTATTTATTTTTTAGGCAAACTTCTTTAAAAATCCACGGCCATATAACTGATGCAATCGTCAATATTATGTCTAAGTTTGTAACTACAGTCCTAAATCCCATAATCCAAAAAGTACTTGAGGGACTAGTACAACGTGCTGCCAATAATGTTGTCACTAACGTGAACGATTTAATTCATAATATTACTCATCCAAATGATACCACCATGTACAAATTTTTGCAGTACCCACTCAACTAATAATTGTTAACAGTTTAAATGTTTAATTTTTAGTTTGTTTTAATTTTGCTTGTTATATATTTAATAAAGATATATATTTGTAAATGGTTAATTGTCTTGTATTATGTAAGAGGAGGGCGTTAAACTAAATACCAATTTTTTTTTCACGTTATCATAACGAAATACATTGTATTTTCTAATGAAATATCAATAATTATAAGGATCATTATTGGGTTTATTTTAAGAAGAAAACTTTATATGAACGTATGTTCCAAACGTCTTAACTTTTGAGATAGATGGTGTTAAAGTTTTTGAAAATAAATAATACCACTATAGATATTTTAATAAACTTTGTTATACCATCAAGAAACATTTTTTGATATATATTTCGTTTTATTTCCACCAGTGGCGATCGTGCAGAATCGGACCTGCATATTTTGGCAAAATACAGGGTAAGTCAAAATAAAGTGCAAAGATTTTAAGGGTGTATTTAACAGCCAAAAATAAGAAAAATTTTTCATATAATCATATGTTCTAACTTGCTTCGTTTTCTAGATACAGGGAGTCAAAATTTAAAAAAAAAATTGGTTTTTATCAATTACTCAAAAATCTTTTAGCCGATTTAAATATTTTTCGTCAATGGGTACATATTTATAAACATATATTTTGGGGTTATAATAGGCCACGTACGTGGATGTAATGCTGGTCGGCCACTATTACCCTCCAAATGAACAATGACAATGAACGATGGAATGCTGAACAACTTAGTGCAGAAAGAGAAGGGTAATGAATTAGATAAGTAGAAGAATAATAATAAGGAAGATAAGGGGAAAAAATAATAAATTCAACACCTGATAAAAAGCTTGTTGACATAATTACAAGAATGCTCAAAAGATGACTCATTTGGAAATAAAAACTCCAACCACAATAGCAGCAGAAAGCAACATTCATTAATAATGACATTAACACCAATGAAGTAACTTCTAGAAGAAATACAGCAGAAGAAGGAAGAACAAATAAGAAATAAAGTCAACAATGAGTAAGAGTCAACAGCAGTAAAATTTCAATTTAACAAAATTCAACAAAATTCAACAAAATTCAACAAAATTCAACAAAATTCAACAAAATTCAACAAAATTCAACATAATTCAACAAAATTCAACAAAATTCAATTCAACAAAATTCAATTCAACAAAATTTAATTCAACAAAATTCAATTCAACAAAATTCAACAAAATTCAACAAAATTCAACAAAATTCAACAAAATTCAACATAATTCAACAAAATTTAACAAAATTCAACAAAATTCAACAAAATTCAACAAAATTCAACAAAATTCAACAAAATTCAACAAAATTCTACAAAATTCAATAAAATTGCATTAAGGATTGCATTAAGGATTGCAGCTTGAGAGCAGGAGCAGGAGTAGGTTTATATATGGGCGATTCTCATGTAACTGCGACTTTTACAAATTAAATTTTTCTAAAATTAAAAATGTTTTAAAACGTATGTTTTACGCGTTTTTGTTTTCTATTTATGCACAGAAATAAACCTGTAAAGTGGTTATACTCCAGCTACGACAAAACGAAAACAGTGACAAAATTTCAAAATTTTAATGCCACGGTACTGACATTATTTCCAGAGTACTGACATATAAATTACTATTTTTTTTTACCAATTGAAAAATTGGTATAAAATTCAATGCAGTATGCATTAGATTGTAGTTATAAGAGGTAAATTTTATATTAAAAAATGAATTTGGATAGAAATTTATAAATTTAATTTCAAAAATGAGAATTGGACATGCCACGGTACTGACATTTCGAGTATATTTATATGCAGCTTAAAAAAAATTACGAAGGTTTATGATCTAATTCATAATGTCGGTTGTAAAATACCTCTAAATTTTTAATATTAATAACTTTTTGATGAGAAAAACTTATGCTAAACGATAAATAAAACACTGGACATAAAAAATCACAGTTATCCGAGAATCACCCATATATTTTTTTGAACTTATATAAAATGATAAGATGAGGACTTGTTTTTTTTATAATCTGGACAGACCACCTCGACCTGATTTATAAGCTCAGGGTTCTCTTTGCCCTTGTAAACTTACGGTGTTTGAAACTGGTCCTTTGAAAATCTGAGTTGTGCAGGCCTACCCTAGGCAGTTGAAGTCTGCAAGTGTTAAGCCTTCTTATGAGCTTGTCCACTAGGACTCGCCAATTCGGCGAGGCCGTTCAGACCTTGATTCGTATTTTGAATACCTCTCGCAGCAGTTAGCGTGCCGGCTAATATAAATACTTATCAGTACCAAAATTCATTAATTTATCTTTATAAACAAAAAAGTAATAAGAGCAAGTCACCAGGTACACGTGGCATAGCTTTAAAAAAAAAACATAAACAACTTATTTTCACTTCAAATCACAAGTATCTAAGTACATTACATAAAAAAAATCATATTTATCTTATAATGGATCAGATAACTATTTAAGAAACCTAGAATAATATATAGCTCAGTAGTTCTTTTATTGTAAGTACACAACCATGAAACTGATAATTTGTATGTTCATTTTCGCATTCTTTTCTTTTGCAAACGCAAATGAAAATAAAGAAGTGGAATTATTAGATGAAGTCGACAAGAAACTAATTAATGAAATTATAACTTTTGCACAAGGATTAAGGTAAGCTATAAATTAGATTTAGGTATACATTAATATATTGGAATAAAAAAGGTACATACAACGGTTGATAATGATTAGATATTAGGATGGTGCAAAAAAGGTTAAATTCGTATTTTCGATTCGCTATACAGTCTAAAAATTGCCTTGTGTATATTAGCCTAATAAAACAAAAATTATTAAAATCTGACAATATGTTCTATTCGCACAAACCACCGAAAGTTTTAGGAAAATCATGAATTTTGGTTTTATTTAAATATTTTTTTTTGAGGGTTTGTATTTTTTAGGGCTATAATCTTAAAACGTTAGCAGCAATATTATATATCATGCCAAAAAATATTACTGATTTTGAAGCATTTTTTCCGATCGCGCAAAACGTCTGAATATTTGTAAAAATTGTACACCGCTTATGGAAAAGTGGCGACTTTTAAATATCATAAATTTTTGATATGTTGCAGTTCTCGACCTTTTAAGCAAAAGTGTCCATTCAAATCCTTTAACTAGTTTTTAAGATACAGGGTCTTAAACTTTGTCATGTTTTTGTGACATATTTTAATATAACCATCTTAATTATTAGGGCAATTACTTCAAATAAATTTTAGTATCCCAAATGGACTATTGCGGATCGAACGGTCAGTAAACATTTTCATATTTTTTACCTATTTTTCAAAAAAAAAAAAAAAAAATTAGGGTGACAATGTCGCCTAATGGAAATACGATTTAAATCGCGTTCTGTTCCGTTTTGTGATAAAGTAGCCCCGGTATAAAAAAGGCCATAAAAATAGTGGGTGGTAGTATTAAATAAAAAAAAAAAATAAGCAAAAAAAGAGGCTTTTAGTAAAAAATAAACTTTATTTATTTAAGCCACTGAAGGCTTAATGGTAACTGTATGGTAACTGTAAAAAAATAACTATAAACTCTTTATAAAACACACATCAACCAACTACTTTTATTATTATTATTGTTATTATTATTATTATTGTTATTATTATTATTATTATTATTATTAATTATTAATTATTATTATTGTTATTATTATTATTATTATTATTATTATTATTGTTATTATTATTATTATTAATTATTAATTATTATTATTATTGTTATTATTATTATTATTATTATTATTATTATTATTATTATTATTATTATTATTATTATTATTATTATTATTATTATTATTATTATTATTATTATTAATTATTAATAATTATTATTATTAATATTAATTATTATTATTATTATTATTATTATTATTATTATTATTATTATTATTATTATTATTATTATTATTATTATTATTATTATTATTATTAATTATTAATTATTATTATTATTAATTATTATTATTATTATTATTATTATTATTATTATTATTAATTATTATTATTATTATTATTATTATTATTATTATTATTATTATTATTATTATTAATATTATTATTATTATTATTATTATTATTATTATTATTATTATTATTATTATTATTATTATTATTATTATTATTATTATTATTATTATTATTTTTTTTTTTTTTTTTTGGTGTGTCATCGGCTTCAACTGCTACGGTTATTTCGCCTCGTGTTCTGTGTAGGCTTTGTTACTGTTTCCCAGCGCCACTTTAGGAACAGCACTGTTAATTAGAACCCAACAGTGAATGGTCGAGTGGGGAATCCTACCAAGGCATCAGAATTAATTTTAAATAATTAAATTAAATAAAAAAATCCCGGCCAACGGTGGGATTCGAACCTGATATTATTATTATTATTATTATTATTATTATTATTATTAATTATTATTATTATTATTTTATTTCTGTATAAATTTATATTTTTTAGGATAGATGAAGTAGCTGGTATTACAGCTGAGATAAACGAATATATAGACAGACTTTTTCCAAACATTAGCAACTATTGCATATCTCACAGTTTAGATCCTGCTCCCCTCGATGATGTTAAAGAAAAGGTACATAAATATTTTGACATATAAAGTGACATCTTTTGTAAACGCATTAAGTTATTAAACTAGTTACATACATTTGAACATTATACCTATAACTGGTTAGGAAAGGTAAATTTTGTCACCAGTTGAGAAAAGAAGTTAAAATAAACCACTTTTGATTTTAAAATTAATATATGTTGCATTTGAAAAATTATATCGAATGAAGGAAGGTTGGCTATATAAAAATTAATTTCGTCAGTAAACTTACACTTGTTAATGTTTCAAATCAATATTTTTTGTCCATTTTTGTTTATTTTTTTGTATTACCTAGTAAACTGACTTTTAATTATCAAGGCTTTATTGTAGTATCTATGGTTTCTTGATATTAACAAATTTTGACCAGTTTTTGGAACCACATTTTGAAACTAAGTACCTAAATTTCTATATTATTAGTAATTTCTACTCAAAGCAAGGGCGGCCCTAGGCAGAATTTTCGGGAGGGGGAATTGATAATAACAATTCCTTTTCAACATATTTTTTCAATACAAAACTCATGAATTTTAAGAATTTTTTACCTCGGAGGGCGTGGACCCCTTCCTCCCTCCTGCAGCTGTCCTTGACTCAAAGAAATTATGAAATGTCTATACATACATATACAAATTTGAATAACCATAACAAAATAATAAATTTAAAGAAACTTATCAAACTTTCATGTTGTATATTAAAAATAATAAATGTTCCTTAGTCATTGGAAAAATAGTTACAATCATCCATTTTATTATTATTTTCTCAAATATATAATAAAAAACACCATAAAATTAAAAAACGCACATGAAAGTGACGTTTAATATTGACCTAACGTTTCAATAGTGCCATCTGGCGGTGACACTTCGCCTGTTACCCCTTATTGTGAGATAACGGGAAAGCTCCATTACAATTTTGTCAAAAAATAGCGGTTTTTTCGTATTTTTTTTTATTTACCATAGAAATTAGTTATTTTTTAAACTTTTAAAATTTTTTGCGATATTCTGGCATGTGAATTCTTCACCGGACTCAAATATATCATTAAGAAAGCTTAATTGGTTTAAAAAATGTAAAAGGTGTAAAAACTGTAAAAATCTGTGACTTTAAAAAATAAATTTAAAGTATAAATAGCCGGAATATAGACCTCTTGACTGTGAGACTAAGCAGAAAAAATGCTTTTCAATAAAATCTTCATACTTAGGTTAATAACACGATTCACAAAAATAGTGGAATAATGGACTCTTTAATAAATATATGAAATTTTAGGTATTTATATTTAAATGTTTTTAGTTTCTACTAGCCAAGATAAATTTCGTTAAAGGTTTTTTACATGGAATTTCAAATTTGGTTAGATATGGCGATGTTACAGTCGGCTACCAAAGCAAAATAAAAACATTGACGTTGACCCTGCCAGTTGAATTTTCCAATCTTAGTGTAAGTAGTCACCAATATTTATTATAAAATACTATTTTGTGCGGAACGACTCAAGTAAAAAGCAGGTCTTCTATCCTGCATTTTCCTAAACTGCAACAACAAATGAAATAAATTAACAAATATACTTTTTACATTTTCAGTTTACTTACGATTATACAATTAAAGTACTTGGGATTGGACCTTCAGGAGATTTGATTGGTAAAGTTGACAACTTCAAATTTTATCTTCAACTGAGTTTCAATTTAAATACTTTGACAGCCCAGATTGACAATTTGAAAACCACAGACAGTGGGTAAGCTATTATTAAGTTGCACATATATTATTATAAAATAATAAATATATCATGATGTATACCAGAATTTAGTAACAGCCTGTAATACTCTGCAATATTCTTAGTTACTTTCTTATAAAAATCACATTGAATTCCATTTTATTCTTACTCCATTTCTCATAAAATATCTCTGTTAACCTTAGAAATGTAACAGTCCGTACTCTATTACAAGAATCGCATTATTGATTTCCATTTTTTTCATACGCCTTCATATCTTATAAACAATTATGCATAAAAGACAGTGCATTTGTCTCTGAACGTTTTTAATTATTTAGAATGTTAGAATTTGTAATATTTTTTGTGTAGGGGAGACCAGACATTTTTAAGATTTTTTATTTTTTTTCAGTTATTTTTTATTTTTTTAAGTAAAAAAGTAAACAAAATTCATCTTTTAAATAAAACAAAACTGATTTAAGAAAAATAAACAAATCTTGTGGACAAAATAAAAAACAATAACAGATACTCATTTGCAAAAAAAAATTATAGCGCTTTTCAATTTTCAATGTTTTGACTGTCATTTAGTCATTGTCAGAATCGCAGTGGTGACACGTTTAATCTGAAAATATACACAGTGTGCATTCTTCGTGTGCCCACTCCTTGCATTTACGGCACTAAATCCATACTTCCCCTGGTTTAGTGTTATCGTAATTATTGCAGCAAACAATACAAATGGTGTCATCTTCGTCAGATGATTCTACTAGCACTTTTTTCTTTGCTGCTTTTAACTTATTTTTTGCTGCTACTGACATTTTACCTACTTTTGAAAGTTTTCTGACAGCTTCACATTTTAAAGCGTCTAGTTCAGGTGTATCAGAACCGCAGCCTTTCTTTTATTCTGACCTAGTTATTTGTTTCTTAGGTGCAGCTTTGGGAACTGGTCTAACTGCTGCAGGAGAAAAGTGTGATAGTTACAAGCTTATCTATGGCGAAGTAAAAGAATTTTTGTTATCGTATCCAGAGGTTAAATTTGTAGAATTCTCTAATTCAGGAACTAAAAAAGTAGAAGTAGTAGCCTGATAAACTCGGGAGGTAGTAGGTCGTTCCAAATAACCAGCTGTTAAAGTATTCCAACTTGGCTGGTTATCTTTTGTTTCTGGAAGCGCATCATGAGGAGTAGTTAGTAGGTTCTTTTCACGTTCTACTGGCACTAGTTGAAGAGTTCCAACATAGGAAGATGGCTGGTTATCTACTTGTTCTACTAGAACATTAGGTGCGAGGGGCGGTGGCCGATCAGTAACACTTGCCGATAAAAAATCGTCTTCACTGAATATTTTTCTGTTGAAATATTCCATGCCGGTACACTGAAAGCCTTTAGCAATATTTATGAGGGTAAGAGCCAAAGGCAAAGCTTCTCGGGCCAGTCTGGGTATGTCGTAGATAATCAATGATTTACCCGGATTATTTCGCATCAGAAGACATATATATATTTTTTTAAAGCCCCGTACCTGTCCAGTGGTTGCAGACGATGGGAACAATAAAGAGGGAATAAAAACAATACCACCCCATTGTCAGTAGATAGACAACCTATGTATGGCCTCACATAGGGAATTCAACGTGTAAGAGTGAGAGGTACATATTCAATGGTTAAGAGTGAGACAGACGGTCTGAGAGGAAAACGGGGTAGTGGGGGGAGTGGGGGGATTAAATTTCGTCGAATAGAATTTTTGCGTAGTGGTAAAGCCAAAAGGGCCTTAGCGTATATCTCAGCTATCGTTGGTCCGATTTAAACGGGAAAAACGGCATTATGAAGAGAGCGTGATATAGATTAACATACAAGAGAAAAAAATCATGCGCAATGACAGGACAAAAGGACCTTAGCGTATATCTCAGCTATCGTTGGTCCGATTTAAACGGGGAAAAGGAGGTTATATAGAGAGAGGGATATAGAATAACATACAAGAGAAAAATCATGCGCAATGCCACAAGGGCCTTAGCGTGTATCTTCACTGCTATTGGTCCGATTTAAATGGGGAAAACGAAATTACGTAGAGAGAGGAATATAGATTAAAAGTTGAAAAGAAAAAATCATGCGCAGTGGCAGGACAAAAGGACCTTAGCGTGTATCTTCACTGCTATTGGTCCGATTTAAATGGGGAAAACGGAATTACGTAGAGAGAGGAATATAGATTAAAGTTGAAAAGAAAAAATCATGCGCAATGCCATAAGGACCTTAGCGTGTATCTTCACTCGATTTAAATGGGGAAATGGAGGTATGTGCACCGAAAAGTTTGACGTTTGACGTTTGACATTTGACGTTTAACGTTTGACGTTTGACGTTTGACGTTTGACGTTTGACGTTTGACGTTTGACGTTTGACGTTTGACGTTTGACGTTTGACGTTTGACGTTTGACGTTTGACGATTCACGTTTGACGTTTAACGTTTGACGTTTCTGCTAGTATCAAGCGTCAAGGTTAACAACCCAGATCTCCGAGAGGAGGCGTATCCTACACCCGACAAGTAAAATAAGTATTCAGTATTGAGATGTCTAGCGAAGAGAATAGACGTAGAATTGAAGAGTTTGGTATAAAAGTTCAAAAACTAAGAAGAGACATAAAATTATATGAAGATAAAAAACAAGTTTTAAGAGATTTGACAAATTTAAGTCTTTGGGATAAAGGCTTTGAGAGATATTATCCTAATCAGTATCCACTTAGAAGAATCCAACCGACGCAAATATGGCCATCTTAAAGGCTAATTTCATTATACTTACGGCTATATTAAACAACGTACTGTATACCAATGTACCGTTGGGCGTACAACAGATGGCGATACGTTTTGATAATCAAACGGAATGGCGAAAGATGAATTTCTCGGTGGTAAATAATATGAAGCTAAATACGTTTTCCATAGCAATCGATGAAGCAAAGAGATACAAATTAAAATTGATTTTTAATGATGGCACTGAAGGAGAATTCAAAGATTGGCATGCTGTTACGACTCCACCACCACCACCACCGATCGATTTGAGTGACATGTCAGAGCCCAAATATTCTAAATTATATGTAGTTAGTTGTATAACACTATCATCTACTTTGTTTATAATATTGAAAATTATTGTAAAAATTATAAATAAAAAATTTTATTCTTCTTGTAAAACGAAAATAAATGCATGAAATTAATAAGGGGTTTCAATTAAAAAACATTTCCTTTAATAATCATTTATTAATAACAAAAAAAATTACAAAGGTATGCAATTAAGAAACCATTGGCGTAGACTTTCGACGTTCTTCTGGGTACATTTAAATGATCCATTGGCGTGGTACATGCAGGTTTTGGAGTCACTACTGAATTTTTCTGTTGCACACGGGGTTCCATCGAACTTGCATACATCTACTATTATAGGACGTGACACGTGACAATTTTTTAGTAAAAATTCGGCTTTTTCACTTCCTCGCACGTAAATACAATCAACATGGTTTAGTAAATATGTTTCCAGAATCGAGTTTAACTTGGAATAATCCACGTCTCCGGAGGAATAGTTGACCCCATGAATATGTTTCTCAACATATCTAGCGCTAATTCTATCAGGCGTATTTAGATTAGAATAAGGTGTAGGCGGTGTGAACAAAGCGTGGTATTGTTTACAACCAATTGCGATACTCAATTCCTTTGGATGAAAAATACCGTCGATGCAGAAGCCTTGGATGTCAACGAATGCGATCCTCATGATGACAGAAACGAGACTGAGAGACTTATATAATACTCTTAACTACTTCCGTAAGAGGACGATATTCCATCAAACGATCATGAATTATGATGCAATATGCTTTGGTATTAGCGGGGAATCCTGTATCTGCTTCTATTTCCAATTTTACGTCAACCGTAGAAGATTTCATGGTCTCTTCCTGCTTTGAACAATCAATCACAAATAATGCGTAGCGTTTGAACGCTTCATAGTTTAGAAGAGCCGTTTTCGGTGTACCGGTTATATAGTTTGCATTAAATTCTGTGTAGTTGTAGTGAGCAATAGCATAGTCGTCTTCTTTAAAATCTAAAAGCATTCGTTCGTTTGGCCAATATTCCCCGTTTAGAGATACTCTAACACCGGTTAGGTTAACATTATCAAATTTAGTGGGGTCGCTACTTAGTTTATTCCGCCTGTCAGTTTGGAAGCAAACTAATATATATCGTGGACGTTCTACGGCAGCACTAGTCTTTACGGCCCAAATTTCTCGTTTAGAATCTTTAGTTATTGATGGTAGTTCATTTAATTCCCAGTTTCTAAACGGAATCAATATAGGGCGATCATTTTTGATGGGTTCCATAAGTTTAATTTTAATTTCGTCATTAGGGAAGATATGTTTAATTTTTACTTCCATACTTTCAATTATCAATTTAACGGTTGTAGAGGTCATACCACTACCACTACCTCCGGTTATGGGCTGCTCTGTGATAATGACACAATCATTATCGTTACGTGATCGAACTAAACGAAATGTTTGTCTACCATAGGTAATCATAGTATAATCATTGAAAACGTTGAAAATGTGTTTAAGAGGCATAAGCAAATTGAAATGTTTTGAACCATTCAGAAGCGGGTTATCAGGATAATTCCATCCCGCAATACTCATGAAACGACTGTATTCCGATCCATAGCATGTTAAGGCTCGTACGGTGCTTACGATTCCAGGATCTCTAACGACTTCTATTTCTCTAGAGCATTCGCTGTAGGAACAGCTATCGAAAAGAAACGCCCCAAAATTGGGTGCTAATTCACATTTTCCACCACCAGTAATTTCCAATTTTCCTTTAATTTCCAATAGAGTGTCAGGCATTGCGAAAAATGCATCAGATTGATTTATGATAAATTCAATGACGTCGCTGTTGTTGAACGATTTAACGTATGGACTATAGGATCGATATTCTTCTTTTCTAATGGTATCATCAAATCGTGGTTTTTTATAAAGGTTGAATTTTGGATCGATACCACCTTCATCGAATCGAAAACGTTTCATCGCCGGTTCATCACCATCATCATCATGCTGGCGTTTTCCCATTTCGTTTAGGTTTTAATCCAATCGATTTAAGAAATAATAGGTTTTGTGTAGATATAACGACCTGTCGCTGAGGAGCTCTGGTTGGTACTGACAACGTCACGTATGCAGAAGTGTTTATAACTAAACCCATTTAACGTTCTTGTAACTCCAAATGAAGAGTACTTAGTTCACCGCGAAAGTTTACGGGTCTCTGCTGCTGATCAAGCGCCACAACAGTTATGTTTGTTATTTCTCTGCTACTACTTACAGGTAAGTATATCGGATTATGTGGACGTTCTATAATCTGATATCCAGGATTTTCGATTATCGGGAACTCGTATATTGAATGCGTAGGTCTATCTCCGTAGAAGGCTCCTTCAGTAATGTTACAATCAAAGTGTATGCTAGATACTTTTATAATGTTTACAGGTAGATCCGATGCATACTTTCGGTCTGGAGCAAGAATTGTCTTGGAAAATCCTAAAATATTACCAAGACTATCATCCTGTACAAATGAAATAGCGTGATTTCGGCAGTATATTTCGCATTTGAGAGTATTGTTATTCGGCTGCAATGAAAACTCGTCAATGCTGTTGGTTCGCACCTCCAGTTCCTTCTTTATATATTTTTCGATATCCGTAATTTCATAGCACCCCGTAGGAATTTCGATGATCTTTAATTTTTTTCGATTATTATTTTCATAATAGTAAAACTTTTCTCCATCAATATTGGGTATTGAATTGTACGAACAGAACCCCAACAATCCTAGAAAATATGAATTTTCAGGATTTAATATGATTGGGGTCTGCGGAACGAATGAGAACTCGTTAGTGGTACTCGTTAAAGTTAACAACATGACTGATGTAGAATGAGTGATGTAAGGATTTATATATATACACATTTATAATTTTTATTCATTTATTTTTTTAAATAATAATTACAAGCGTGACAATCAGCCTGCGCATCTGCAGGCCCATCAAAGTGAGTTTGAGCGTCAGGCCTATTATAATGTACGTAACAAGGTAAACGAATTTGTAAATTAAAATTACATTTATATTCATTAGGTAATTTGTGCCAAACATCCAACAATTCTCCAGGTCTAACTTGCCGTATCAAATAGTCGACAGGAAGTATGCTTAGTTCATCTTCTTTAAGGGATTGTAGCGTCCTTTTTCCGTCTGTGTACGCTAGTATGGCCTCCATTGTATAGAAACTTTAAACATAAATGTCCACAATTAATTTGGTTATAAGTTTGATATGGATCGTCGTTGTAAAATATTTTTGCTTTACCTAAATAACGAACAAGTTCTTTCGGCGGCTTTAGATTACCGAATGAATCAAAATAGTCTACGATATCGTTTATCTTTCTATAAGCTACCCAATGAGTTCCTTGATTTCTCGACGTATCTAAATTTAAAATGGCGGATTCTTTTCGGTGAGATGTCTTTGGTAAAGTATCTCTCATGAAAACTCCACGAAAATATGGTATTTTTAAACGTTTAGCATACGCAATCAAGTCTTTATCGTATAGAGGTCTAGAGGGTAGCTTCAACGGTAGTTTTTTTGTTTCTTTAAAAATAATCCCAATCCTCCTTTTGCGTTTTTTCGTAAATATAATCCTTT